TGCATTAGACATTGGTATTATAGAAGTAGGGTTAGATATCCGTGTGTGTGTGTGTGTGTGTGTGTGCGTGTGCTCAAAGAAAACGGTCTACTTGATGTCTTTCAGTTATTGTTGAAACTGGCCCACGAGAAATCATCACCATGTGACCATGATTATAAGTTAATAAAATGCTGCGAACTTTTGGTTATTAGAATACATTAAGATCCGTTAAGTATTTTACCTGAAATGAGACACCAGGAACATCATGTGCCGCAGACGCTGCTAAATGTCCGCCTGCGCTGTCACCACATACACCGATCTTGCTACTGACTGATCCACCTGGAAATAAATAAATAAATAAATAAATAAATAAATAAATAGTTGAAGTTCTTGAATATATTGGTAAACTATACCGTTACGGTTAACGAAGCAGGCTTCATCTAATCAATGCTTCAATTTTTCCCAAATGTGACCTGATCTTCTTTGTTTTAAAAAGATATTTAAAAAACCGTTTTATTCGTCACGCATAATTATGAAGTTAAATATCAAAACGTTCAGGCTTTATAAACGGGTTAGGTGTTTTCGAACGCGAGCCTCAAATTTGTTAGCACAAATCCCCAAACTAACGACTCAACTCACAAATAAAGAAGCCCGACTTAAAATCTGTAACCTCAAGCACAGTGCAAGGACCCACAATCGTGATTCCGCTGATCTACACGTTCGGTACGTGCCAAATGAGCCAAAGATTGTGGAGAACGCATTACTGTCATTGAGCAGAGGAAAGCTGGTCGAATTGTTTGTGTGGTCAGCGCTGTGCTCGTGGCTGCTTATTTTACATTGGGTTTCTTAATTTGTGACTTGAGTGTTTAATTTGTGTATATGTCCTTCAGAATGTAAGGCTCGTGTTACCATACGGCAATTATCGTTTACGAGGCCTGAAGCTGCTCGCCTATTTTCTCCTTGTTCTCCATGCACCACCTAACGGCGACCTCAGCGTCCTCTAACGCGGCAGGAAACTTGTGCTCTGGCGCCAAACGGTACTCCACACTCACAAATATACAACCCACGGTGCTGAAACAAATACCAGTGTAATAACTCAAACATGACACCTCATTCCCACCGGCACCATCGGTCTAAGTAGATCGTTTTTCTACCGTTTTTCTCTATGTAACGTCAGTCAAAAAGTGGCCAATCATCGGCCTCGCTCTCTGGCCAATTTTTGAATTCCTTTGACAGGACCGCCTCAGCGGTCGTTTACGGCCTTGTGCAGTTTGCTAGGCACGTGATGTAGCATGTGATGTAGCATGCGAAAAGTGTATATATTACTTATATCGATCGATTCATAATCACCGGTTTTTCTGTATTCTTCTCAACGTCAGGAGGAGGCGAGTCTTTCAGTTAAGCTGATTGCACTTAGCAAGACTCCCCTCAAAGTAGGTTGGTCTATGAAGACCAATAGTGTCTATGGGAATGGGGCCTTAAAGACCATGAAAATTCGTGTTTTAAATTAAAAGAAAAGCGATAAATAGCTTTAAGAATTATATCCGGAAATTCGTACCCTCTTAACATCATCACCATGATATGACATATCGTAAAATTGTGGTAAATTTATGACAAATGAAACGTTTTTTTACTTCTATGAACTAATTTTCCATATTTTCTTATTTATTTATCGATTTATTTCTGATCAGGTTAACACATTTAAAGAGCAATATATGCCTTGACTGTTTCATAACCCTATTATAAGCTACTCACTCGGTGAGAAGTTTGAGTGCAGGATCGTGAGTTTTTCTGGAGCAGATCACCCAGCCTCCACCGTGGAAAAACACCACTATAGCGACATCTGGCGGGCACGGTTTCGGCTTGTATACCCAAGCCGGTATTCCTGCTGTAAAGATAAGAAAATTAAAGAAAACGGCGCTGTGGTAATAGATTAAAAAAAAAAAACAACTCTGTAGAGTAATTACTGGATCACAGACAACATTAATGGTAATTACTTGACCTTTTCAAGGGGCAAAAATTATCAAACTTTCAGATACTTAAATTTATTATCACACAAATTATATTTCTATATAGCATGTTTCTTATCACTAGAAACGTTGAGCAATAAAATCAGCAAGGCAAAGACGTATATTTCAAACATCACACCTGTTTTTTTTTTCTTATTTTTTATTGATATTTTATTCCACTGTTTTTCTCTACGTAACGTCAGTCAAAAAGTGGCCAATCATCGGCCTCGCTCCTTTGGCAATTTTTGAATCCCTTTGACAGGACCGCCTCAGCGGTCGTTTACGGCCTTGTGCAGTTTGCTACGGACGTGATTTTACATGTGATTTAGCATGCAAAAAGTGTATATATTACTTACCTGGGTCATGCGGAGACGGTATGGTGATGTCATCTCTTTCACCTTTGAAGTCATATTTAAAACCGGAGTGGAAATATTCCACCGTCGCCTCTGATGATTCGCGTGACCCTTTGACAGTAGCCATGTCTTCAAAGCTCTTTCCTCCGCGCTGTTGTCAAAATGAGTAATTGTGGATGACATGGAAAATATCTTGTGCCATGTTTTCAAGATCTGCCCCGGTAATTTTGGCGTACGTTTAGTTTAAATTGATTGCATTCCCTAATAATGACACCCATAAACGCAAAAGCTCTGTCACGCACACAAATTACACGCTTGCGCGTACACATATTTACACACAAACCAATTATAAGTTCACATTTCATACACCTTAATCTGAGCAAACGATTCTAATAGCTACTGTTAAACTGCAACCTTTCCGATTAGCGTAGCATATTGATGAGGAGATTTGAAAATTATGTAACTGGCACGAATTTGAAACCCTGGCTTGGTGACTCCCAGGGACGCAATTAGTCAACGAGAGTGACCTTACCTGTAGAGCTGCCTTAAGAAACGCCTGCGACTCCTCGTGGAGAGTGGCGAACGCTGCAGGTAGAGCCATCGCGTTGAGACTGCTAATGTATTGGTCACTTCTTTAAGTCGATCGTTGGTTATCAGCCTGGTGAGTGTATAGGTCAGAAGATCGTGGCATGTTTGAAGATTTGTTGACTTGACCCAGATATAGCCCCTGTATGCGATAACAATATGCAGCAGATCTACCGACTTTTGGATCGATGATGAAATAACCTACGTACACCAGTGAGGCGATTTACCTCTTGCGAATTCGGTGGGATGTGATTATAAATAAAATGTTTCTATTTATAAACAGAGATCTGGGGCCATAGGGCGTGTTTCATAAGTTCCACCTAATCACCTGAATATGTTACTTGTATTATAGTTAATAAACAGAGATCTAGAGCCATAGAGCGTGTTCCACCAAATCACCCGTTATATCACTTGCTATATTATAGTTTATAAACAGAGACCTTGAGCCATATAACTTGATATGAGTCTATAGAAGTTACTCTTACTGGTACTTGTTGCTATCTTTTGGTATCAATATTTGCGAAGGTAAATTTTCTTTGTATTTTCTTTTGCTGATACAACTCACACATTGAGTGCAATATAAGAAGGATACGACCTACCTTTATCGGACGATTTTCCGTGATAACCCAGGGGACAAATGTGTGGCATTTTAAACTGCACACTTTGCGTCATTCCAGCATTCATTCATGCGGTACAGATCTGAAATGATATATTGGAAGGATCATAAAATTCTACGCACGCTCTTTCAGTTGATATATTTCAATTGTTATGATTTAAGCAGCTACTAAGACAGGGTAACTGATATCGATCGAATGCATTTTGTACAGAATTTCCACCTGACACTTTTTTTGCGTACTTTTGCTCAGCCCTTTTTCATTTTCTTCAGAATAAAAAGCATTTAAATAGATGTTTTCAATTGTGCGTATACATTGGAACACCCTGCGCGATCAACAAATCAAAACTATTTCCTGTTATCCTGTTGCTCAGCCCTTTTTCATTTTCTTCAGAATAAAAAGCATTTAAATAGATGTTTTCAATTGTGCGTATACATTGGACCACCCTGCGCGATCAACAAATCAAAACTATTTCCTGTTATCCACAAAGGACGAAATTGTTATCAGGACACTGCTTACGAAATTTTGCATCTACTTCCGAAAAAATCCCCAAGGCAAGAGCACTGAAAGCCAGACGGATCCTCAACACTAAATGATTTGAAAACGTCCGCAGAGAGTACTCCAATCTGGGGCAGGAGGTCATGTGTTTGATCCCCATGACCTGGTCATACCAAATACCATTATAATAGTATATGCTGTCTTCTGGGGGAGCATTCAGCAAATAGAGGTTGGAGTAGGAAAAAGACCTGGTAATATGTTAGTGCTGGTTATTGTGAATGCTCATTACGAGGGCCACATATGCTGCAACTTGGACTGGGATGAAACGATTTGAAAAGTTTTCAATAAACGATGCCCTGTTTACTGTCAGAGACTGTTTGCAGTTTTTTCATAGGCTTCGTTTGTTCAGCATGAAAGGTGTATTTTATATTTGACCTAGAAGACTTACATATAGGGATTTCTATTAACACGTTTGTTGCTTGGCAAATATTAGTTTTGAGGTAAAGCGACAAAGAAAACTCTGTTAGTAAATTTTTACTTGCAATATCGTTCAGTCAAATCAAATGTATTATATTCTTTTTTCCGTGACAGCGATCTAACTGTCAAATTTTTCTCTCTCCCCCTCTCTCTCTTTCATGGTCGTGTGTTTCTGTGTGTGTGTGAGTGTGTGTGTGTGTGTGTGTGTGTGTATGTTGCGCATGCCTTAACAGCTAGGTAAGGGCGAGAAGGTATTGGAATAACCTCCAAAAAGTTCAACCAGAGAAGGCCTCTCACACCAATGAGATACTCGTATTTCATTTGCATCACATATAGTCAATATCTATGCCACTTTGATACAGAACGTCGAAGTTCAACATAATGGAAACCCCTATGACGTGTTCGGTAATATGAAACTACTTTCAGTATATGACTAATGAAAAGTGATGCTTGTTTACTGCCTCTACCTTTCCATACAGTTTGGTATCCATGTCTTTCTACGAATCATATCAAAACAATATCATTACTTTTATATTTGAATAATGACAAAATTAAAGTATGAACCTGAATGTGTCTCATACAAACATGTGCGTGCCATTAATCTAATACGTCTATACTTTATCATTCATATACCTGTACATGGTTTCATGTTTTAGAAATAAAGCTTCGACATTTGCCATTTGCAAGGTTTCAGCTCTCCCTATTTTATACAATTGGCCAAAAATATGGCTTTTCTTGTAACCATAGCAACAAGCATTGTTGGGAGTAAATAAAGCCGATATTGCTGCTTTGGGCCAAGGTCTGGCCCCCGTTTCACAAAGAATCTTAAATCCGTAGACGTCTTACTCGAGCTGGGTGGCCTAGCTAGGTCGACTTAGCTGAAGTCGACTTGGAGTGTTTCACAAAGAATCTAACGTCTTAGCTTGGCGTGCTTACCGTAGTCGACGCGCACGAGAAACTCTTCAAGAAAAGGAGGTGTAAAATTGCAAAAGTTTCACAAGACATGACGTTTCATGGCCTCTTTCGGCCGAGAACGATCGTTTATCAACAATAAAAGTCAGCCAAAACACAAACAAAGTTTGTTTTTGAACTTTATTGATTAGTTTAACTTCAATACAACTTCAAAGTAACAGTTAAACATTAGCTTGTCGTGGAACACTACTGAGGGACGTCTAGCGGTCAAAAACATAAACAAACACGCGATCGGCTGGGTAAAGTGGAATTTTATTTTTTATTTTAATATTCCATAAATGTCAGTGCTATTCAAGTATATTATAACACAATATCTTGAAGGAGGTATGTTCTTTCCAAATTTTTGTTGTTTATGCTCTCATTTACCGAGTTTTAGTTGAGCTTGCCGACTTAAGTCTCCTCCCGAGGAGGCTTGACATCGTCGACTTACAGCTAAGAAAAAAACGACGTAAGCGACCTTTTAGATTCTTTGTGAAACGGGACTTAGTGACGTAACGACTTAATTACGTTGGTAACCAAGCCCTAAGTCAGGGAAACCGACTTAAGTTTTTTTGTGAAACGGGGGCCTGGTATAGGACAAAAAAGGAAGGGGATATATTTTTGACCCTTGTCACATATATTTGTTTCCTACAGACGTCTTTCAAGACCATTAAAATGCATCGCCACTGTCACAGTGTACCTCGTGGTAATCGCGGCTCATATGAGAACCCACCAAGTCTCGATCGTGCCCACTTTAAACGTTGCAAGTCGTTTAGCAGAAAGACTCCATTTGACCCAGAGAGCATACCTGCAGGACCGACGAGCACCTATTAGCACGTCCGCAGAATTGCACTAACTTTCGAATCAATTTGCTTGATAGTCTGTAACGATAAATGTGTGATGAAATCCCTTGAAAAATACTTGGCTTAAATTTCATTGAGTCTAAGATGTGAAATATTTTCACTGAATGTTTCCCTTTACATTTTATTTCCAATATGACAGATTTTTGTTTACCCCCCACTCATTGGATTCACTACCATGCCTTGGATTTCATCTCACTTACATCAATTACTTGTAATGCATTGATAATAGGAAGGTTTGACCAGATTTCTTTATCATTAGAAATGGATCATATAGCCGGGTAACACTGCAAATAAAATTGGCAAACAAAAAGTCGGCCAGAACTCCATTTACGTCTCTCAGTTTAAATACTAAATCCATATTAATAAAATAACTTATATTTGTCAAGTACATTTTCTAGGTCAAATACATTATGCACGTTTCATGCGACAGAACGACAGAAGCGGATGAAATGCTTGCAAAATGCGTTTGACAATAAACAAGTCATTCTATATTCAAACAAGCACTATTGTGATTGGATGGCTCCCCACGTGCCATGTATTTTACACTGATATCATTTGCAGTATATTATTAACCAGTAGGAAAGAGAATTTTATTGCCTGACCTGACATCAACCAGGAAAACGAGGTACGTTATGTTATCTGAGAAATGTGTTGATCAGTGCAATTCTGAAAGTTGTTGGTGATCCCCGGCGCACACCGATTGTTGCTAAATAAAGAATGAAATGTTCCTCAGTGGTCCTGGTGGAGGGTAGTGCTTCTCCTCAAATATATGTTCAGTTTGGCCGAGGAACTGAATGCGTCCAAAGACTGCCTTACAGGATAGTTCAGACTTCGAACAACTGCTTTTCTAATTTTAAGAGAGTGATAATGAAGGTATGAGAAAAGGCATTTTCCAGTTGTTGAAACTACTTTTTTTAGACTCAACCATAGAAACTCAGTCATAGAGCATATGTTATTTCAAGGGAATTCACCATAGATTTATCGCTACGGACTATCAAGCAAATTGAATTAAAGCTTATTGCCAAGCTACGGGCGTGTTAATAGACGCCCGTCGATCCTGCAGGTAGGA